ATATTTATTTTTATATATATATATATATATATATATATATATATATATATATATATATATATATATTGTTATTTATTTATTTTATTTTAAATTAAAAAAAATCGATTTTTTTTTTCATATTTTTCGGAATTTTTTAAAAAATATGACGTGGCATGCTGATGTGGCAAAAAAATCTATGTGGCGTGCCACGTTAGCCGCCACATGGCGTGCCACGTCAGCGGTTAACGGACACTTAACACTGTTTTCGGATTGTATAGGAAATTGTAGTTAAATTGGATAGTTCGTGTATCAATTTGGCACATTTGATAATTTGGTGTAGTTTTTTATCAAATTAAAAATTCGTGTAGGAAAAGGTCACATTTTGCCAAGTTGGTGTAGGAAAATGTCATTTTTCCTAATTATTATAGAAAATACATTTTTATGAGAAGATTTTGATTATTGTGAAAATATTTTTATTTTGAAAATGGACCGACCATTGTTGGTGGGGTGGACCTGTTGTTTTCATAATGGGCCCAATCGTCGATTCGTCACATCTCATTGGTTATTTATTTAGGAAATGGATCAGAGATTCTAACAACTAAAAGCCCATTTGACCACGAACACAAAATTTGAAAAATTCAACTAATAAATTTAAATAAAAAATATTCAAAACGTTTGGAATACAAAACATCATTATCAATCACATCACACGTTATGTCTTTAATGTTTGTATATATATTGAGACGAATGTTTTGATTTGGACTGGTAAAATTACAATAGATTTTAATATATAACTGTATAAATTTATAAATTTGGTTTTATTAAATTTAATTAAATTTATTTATAATTATATTTGAATCAAATATAAAAATAACATATAAAGATAATTTTAATGAAATATTAGTCAATAATATGAATAAAATAAATATTTAAAATGTGAACATAAATATTTACTCTGTTTATATATACATATATATATATGTATGTATATATATTGACAAACAGTTAATTCCACGAGAATACATGCACACGTAGAAGGCTGGCTAGTTCAAAATAGGCTAAATATTTTTGTGTCGGGCAACGACACTACCGATCTATATTCAGAGAATGCAACACAGAAAACATCATAAGTACAATCAAAGTACGTGCCTTCAGTAACAACGTTTCGAATTCTTCAAATACCAATTATACCTCACGTCCGATCACGGTGGCAATCTCTACATCTGTCTTGAGATGTTCCAGCAAACTAGTGTATACCACTAACTTCCCAGAAGACGAGCAATATGCATTAGCGTTCGGTCCTTCAACCACGAGAACTTCCCAATTTAACCCCTCGAGGTGAGAAATCGAGGGTTGTGATCCTTTCTCTTTACCCTTCTTCCTGCTTTGCTGAATCCATATATCATCCATAATCTCTTCTTCTTCAGACAACTTCAACCAACTCACTGTCCCTTTGCCACAGTTCTCACTCAGTCCCACTGCCGTATCCTTGAATACACTGTCGTTGTCCATACAGATACTATCCATGGACGCATACCGCACACACTCCAGGCTCAAACTTCTCTGCAACCCTTCAATGATATCCTTCACGACAAATTTTAACCCTAATGCTCTCAGGGTGATCCGCAGGGCGTATTTTCCGCTTGGACTCGGATTTTATCATCTCAAACCTAGATTCTCCAACCCATTTTTCGATCGATTTCGACCAAAGAACGAAATACCTCCGTTTCGTGTAAGGAACAGTCTCTAGATTCTTACAATACACGGTGACCAAAACCCCTGACCCCCCAAGCACCGCCGCCAATATGGCCGCTGGGTTTGGAACCACCGTCTCGGTTCCGGTGGCTTGAAAGGATGAACCTGGTGACGATCAAAGCAGCCAAACTTCTTGGGAATGCCCAGAAACCGGTTACAGGCATTGATGTTCGTATTTCCTAGAGAGTTACACAACCTTAAACCTAATCTGCGTGAAAATATCGAGAACCCAGAAAACTTAACTGATAGATTCGAAGACCCATTCCGATGAATTCTCGGGAAAGCATTGGAAGACGGAGATTCGGGGGAAATCCTCAGAGGATTTATGATGTTTCTCCTGGAGTTTGCGAGGAGGAGCTTAGTTCTTCGGTACCAAGACATGTCGCCGAAGATGGAATCCGAACGAGTAACTCAGACGGTGTTTTTCAGCATAAGGAGAAAGGTGAGCAAAATGTTGAAGAAGGCGAAGGAAGTGAGGCTGGATTCTTGCGCAACGAACATTGTTGGAGAGGAGAGAGAAGCACGCTCTCGGCCAAACGACGTCGGCGCAGTATGTAGGAGACGAGTGCCACGTCATACATACGGGAGCCTGTAACGGACGGCGAGGATTCTTCCCGTGGGGAATCGGGCGATCGATCAAGGCCCTACGACCTGTCATTGTCCACGTGGCGTTTATGGCTTGATCGATCGAACACGTGGATTTATGTTTAACCTTGATCTCTTGGACCAGCATTTTTTCTTAATGTTATTAATCTTCAAATTTATCCTCGATCGTATTTAAATCATTTCATTGTTCCTTTTTACTAAAACATAATACCAAAAAATAAACCCAAATGATTTAAATATAATCATCTATATATATATATATATACACCTATGTTCATCTTCTTATTATGGATTCTCCACTTTTCCATATCATATTTGTACACAGTTAAGTTTATCAAATATAATACATAATAAAAGAAAAATAAGATCCTATTATCAATTGCATTCACATACAAATTCAAACGTATAAAAGATAAATTGTAAATTCTAAAAATTAAAGATAACCAAATACAAAAGTTTTAACACATGTTTGAGATTAAAAAATAAAAAAAAATTCGATGACAAAATCCAATAGTATATATTTTGATTTAATAAAAATTAAAAATCAAATTCTCAAGATTTTGTATTAAACAAATTTTTTTTTATATTTTTTATAGTACTCTACCATATATGTGAGTTTTTGTATTTTTTTTTTATCTGGATTTTAAATGTACTTAGAAACTCATAATCAATATATATATATGTATATGGGTGAGTGAGTGTATATACATAAAACCTGTATTTTGGCCCGAAGTTTTCAAATCGATTCAGTCCGACCCAATAGATAAACGGAATTCACTTTTAAAAATCTAGTCCCCTAATTGTTTTTAGACGGACTACGAACTCGGATCACATAATAAGGCCCTTCACACCTAAATCTAGATATTAGATACAAAATTAGCGACGAAATTTTTTATTACAAAACGTTCTTACAACGTTACAAATTCATTTATAAATCGTTGAAAAATAAATCATTGCAAATTATTATAATTTCGTTGCTAATTGTATTTTATTTTCAATGGTCTCATTTGGACAAATATATTGTGATTAACTTGAAATATGAACATGTGTTGTTTGTTGATGTGTTGAATTTTGTGATGGAGATTGATTTGCCTGTTTTTACCGAAAATAGACATTGTTCCTGTGTGATTATAAAGTGTTTAAGACGTTGTGCAATAAATGGTTAGGTGATTAAAAGAAAATATGTAATGGTAAGTAAAATGTAAATTATGTATGTTATATATGTATAAAAAATATGAATATAAATTTTATGCAAAAAAGAATATAATTAGATAATTGAAATGA